TGTGATGCCCTTAGATGTTCTGGGCCGCACGCGCGCTACACTGATGAATCCAACGAGTCGCTTGCTTGGGTCGAAAGGCGCGGGTAACCTTTTTAAGGTTCATCGTGACGGGGATAGATTGTTGTAATTATCGATCTTGAACGAGGAATGCCTAGTAAGCGCGAGTCATCAGCTCGCGCTGATTACGTCCCTGCCCTTTGTACACACCGCCCGTCGCTCCTACCGATTGAATGGTCCGGTGAAGTGTCTGGATTGCGGTGATCTCGGCGGTTTGCCGCTGGGGGTGCTGTGAGAAGTTCATTGAACCTTATCATTTAGAGGAAGGAGAAGTCGTAACAAGGTTTCCRTAGGTGAACCTGCGGAAGGATCATTGACACGTGAATGGCCGATCTTCGGGGTGTGGGACGCTGGCTTGCTCGCCCTTTCGCCGCCCTTTGGCCCCATCCTCCCTGTATCCGCTTTTCTCTTTCGTTTCAACACCATCTTGGGCTTAGTGCCCAGCTGGCAGCTGGCCCGGCGCAGAGGGGCGCGTGGTGTAGGTTGAGGGTGGGGGGAGTGGGCAGGGTCCGGGGCCTCGTGGCGTTGCTCCCCCTTCATCCCGTCTCGCCTCCGCAGGTTGTTACCTCGGCCCAGCGCCACTCTCGACTTCTGGTCGGGATGGCGGTTGGTCCGGGCACGGACAGCCCTGTGGGAGGGTCGGGGGCGCGATGTCAGGTGGTGGCGGCTGTCCTCGGCCTGCGTACCCCCACTCCTTTCCGTCTCAGCTTTGTCCAGACCTCCTTTCCATCTCGGCCTCAACCTCGGCTTCGTGCGGAACTTGTGGCTTGTTTGGGGATCGAGGGTCGTGGTAGAGGCTAGGGGCGGTGTGTTGCAGGGTCCTCGGCCCATCCCCGTTTCGTCCTGCTTTCCTTTCCAACGGGGTTCTCCTTTCCGGACAGATCGTCGTCCTCGACACAGTTGAGGTGGTTTGAATCTCGGGGTGGAGGGCCGTCGGGGGAGGGTTTTGGTCGTGAACGGGGTGGTGTCGGGTGGGGGGGGGGAGGAGACAGCGCTTGCACCCTCGTTGCCCCGCTGCTCCCCGGTGCCCTGCCTGGCGCCCCGAACGGGAGGGTCGGGCGGGCCCGTGGCAGCGGCTGGTGGCGACGGCTTTGCAACTTCTTATTGATGTACCTGCTCTGATTCGTTCTTGTCCGGGTTGACGGCCCCCTTCTGTTCTGGTCGAGGGGTCGGTCCCGTCAGAACGGCACCATATTGTAGAACTCTCGGCAAACGAATATCTTGGCCCTCRCAACGATGAAGAGCGCAGCGAAATGCGATACTGAATGTGAATTGCAGAAATCCGTGAGCCATCGACACCTTGAACGCACGTGGCGCCCAAGGCTTCTGCCGAGGGCACGCCCGCCTGAGCATCATTGGATTCATCACGACCTTCGTTTCGGAGAGTGGTGGGGTCCGTGGTCGTGGCTTCCCTCACTTCCCACTTGGAGAGCGTCGATAGCCCAAAGCGAAAGGGAATTGGAGACCATTCCGAGCGGGCCTGTGGGGGCTGCAGCCCAGAGTGGTGCGTTTCGCTCCGCCTTGTTGTTGCCCTCCAGCACCCGTTTGTGGGTGGTGGTCTTCGTTTCCCTAGAAACGGCACGTAAGGTCGTCCCTCCAGTTTGTGTGGTCGCCGCCTTCCATTCGCTCCCATCAGCTTGAGGTGGGCTTGCGGTTGGGGGTGTCGGCCTCGAGCTGCGGAGGTACGTCAGGCCTTCCCTTTTGATCTCAGGTCCGGCGGGAGCACCCGCCTAATTTAAGCATATAACTAAGCGGAGGAAGAGAAACCAACGAAGATTCCCTTGGTAGCGGCGAGCGAACCGGGAATAGCCCTTACTGAAAATCCGGGGGCTTTGTTGCTCCCTGAATTGTAGTCTCTTGAGAGGCAACCTCTGCAGCGGGCCGTGTGCAAGTTCTTGGAAGGGGACGCCGAAGAGGGTGACAGCCCCGTCGACCGCYGGACCCTGCTGCGCAACGAGGTGTTGTCCAAGAGTCGGGTTGCTTGGGAATGCAACACCAATTGGGTGGTAAGTCCCATCCAAGGCTAAATCTGTGCGAGGGACCGATAGCGAAGAAGTACCGCGAGGGAAGGATGAAAAGAACTTTGAAAAGAGAGTTAAAGAGTGCTTGAAATTGTCGAGCGAGAAGCGGATGGAGGGGAAGTCGTGCGCTCCCGTCTGTGCAGGGTTGGACGGCGACTGTCTTGTCGCCCCCCTTGTTGGGTGTGGGGTGCCTGCCAGCATGGGCTGCTGTGACCGRCATTGCGGTGGGGAGCGATTGAAACCCCCCACGGGTGGCAGTCACGGCAGTCGAGGACCTTGAGCACGCGCCTCTTTCGGCGGGCCCKTTCGGGTTCCTGCGTGTTCGGGATGCTGGCGAAATTCCTCTATCMTGCCCGTCTTGAAACACGGACCGAGGAGTTCAACATGCATGTGAGCAGGTGGGTGATTAGCCCACGAGGCGGAAGAAACCTGAGTGGCGGGAACCCTCAGTGGGTGCACCGTCCGCCAACCACGATCTGTTGTGAAAGGTTTGAGTGTAAGCATGCCCGTTGGGACCCGAAAGATGGTGAACTATGCCTGAGCAAGGCGAGGCCAGAGGAAACTCTGGTGGAGGCTCGCAGCGATACTGACGTGCAAATCGTTCGTCGGACTTCTCTCAAGATTGCTGCAGCTGTTGAACAGTTTTATCGGGTAAAGCGAATGATTAGAGGCCTCGGGGGTGAAACACCCTCGACCTATTCTCAAACTTTAAATAGGTAAGATTT